CAACAATGCCGCCGCTCGTTTCTGGCAGCATTGAGGTGCAACACACGAAAAGTGTGTTCTATAGACACGTATAATTCGTGTTGTGTTAACTGAATGCATATAATATATGTAATCTAATCTCCCTGGGACCTGTAAAGAATAATGTAAAGATCTGCTGACACTTTAAATAAAAATAAAATACATATAAATATAAACATTTCATAGGTAACATGTAGTCCCCCGCCCCTCCTCTCTCTCTCTCTCTCTCTCTCTGTCTCTCTCTAAAAATGTTTATTAACATATACTATATATAAATTATTCAACTATATGCGCATTTCACATTAAAACAACCTTTCCGATAATGAAAAATTTAATTAGAATAAAATGTGATTGATGATTACTCACTTATATTTCTTTTTCGCTATAACAATTTATATATTTAATGAAATGGCACAGATAATGTATTATAAACAATAAATAAAATTTTTATAATAGAATTTAAGAAGAATGGATGGGAGAGTTTCCTTATGAATCTATACTTTGCAAACAAAGAAACTGCGGAACATATATATATATCTCTTATATGTATAAGTTCGTAAATTAATAAATGCGTCAAGAAATACAAATATAATATTTTATATAATTTATTGTTATATTATATTATACATTATTAAACATTATATTAAATATAATATATAATACAACATAACATTAAATGTATCGATTTTTTTCAATGTTAATTTCTCTTTACATAAATTGCTCAGATATAATAAAAATATGAGAAAATCTACTGTATAATAAGTAGAATGACAAATGAAAGCAATTTATGTCTCAAACCAAAAGTAAAATGTTTGTACAGAGTAATGAAAATAATTCATTTATTTAGAAACTGCTAAATATATATATATAACCGTCTTTTATTGTCCACGTTTATTATTATCTATAACTGTGCTACTTTTTCCGCACTGCAAATTATAATAAAAAGTGACAGGACATATTTTGTGTCCGAAATAAAAATAAATATTAGGTTTGTGTTCTCAAATAAAATTTCTTAAAGTAATGCCATTATTAATGTAAATTAATATAATAAAAAATATAATCACAGACGTTAAACGAAAATTATTTGTACAAAAATAATAAACTATTAATAATAAACTAAAATTTTTCAATACTGCATATATATTATCTTTCCATCTCTATCTGTGCATATGTATACATACTTATACATTTTAATTGATGCACTAAAATTATATTATGTAAATCATATAATTCCATTTTAAAAAATAGCAATAACTATCATGTAATTTTAAAAAATTATTTTCTTTTTTTTAAATTGATTTTATCATTACTTGTCCTTTTATAAACCACACAATTTTTGTCTTACTTTTTCCAATCCTGTCTCATTCTTGAGATATTTTAGTGTATCAATTAAAATAAAACACCCTATATATGTAGATGCAAAGAATCAATAATACACATATACAGATAGAGTTAAATATAATGAAAAAAAGGATAATTACATCTATAAAATCATTTTCGCACATTACAAGATCAATACATTACTCATGAAGTCGGGTGCGGTCGCGATCCCTGATGAATTTATCTATGGTTGGATTTTCTTTCATTACTGTTCCCAGCACTTCATGGTCAATGTATTCCATTGCATTCTTGTATGCTTTAGGATAGTTTGTATCCCAAATATAGTATGAAGCCAATAAACAAGCTATTGATTTGCAAACAGATGGCTCAACAATTTTCATTCGAAATTCATCTGCGACCACATAGGCTGTAGCAATAGCTTTCTCCATTGTAAACATAACTAGTCGAGGTAAATTGCCTTCCACGGTCATTAAATCTTGCGTGGAAGACATAACCTGGTAAAAAAAATTGAAATTTGTATTTCCTGAAAAATGTAATTTCTTTATTAATTAATAGATCTGAAAATACATACTTCTTTTACAAGAAACAAAGGATTACTTTTCCTTAATCTCTTGTTTGTCACAGATTCGTAGAGTTTGAATACGATTTGGGCTTTACCTAATTCATTTGGTTCAATGCCAAAATGCTGTTCTAAGGCTTTAATCATAGTATCTACTTTGGTGATAAAGGTTTCTATAGCTCTTTCTTCCTCCTTCCATTTTTTTATAGTACAGAATTCAGACAGAACCTGCATAAAAAAAAGATTATTTTGTGGTTTTTTCTTAACTTACAATTAATTGTTATGTTACCAATATAAATATAAGAAGCACATTTTAATCTTACCAAAGTATCCAATTTGAGATGTGGGTACTTTTCCACCACTTCAAAAATCCTCTTTGCATCATGCTGGATCCACTTCCTCCGTTCATCAAAGGTATCTTTGAGTAAGCGCCGCACATGAGGAATGTCACCTTTGCTTTTTTTTAACTCCTTTAAAGCATCTTTTATGTCAATTTGTACTCGTGTAGGTCTGTAATAAAACAATTGATTTAATTCGAAAGTTGAACTGTGCAAGTTTTGAAATAATGGATGAGAAATTAATTTACTCTTTGTCTACGACCAAAGATTTCATTTCTGCAGACGTAGACCTAACTGGTTTAAGGATTTTATTGCATCTCTTCTTAACAATGGCCTTTCGGTTTCTGATGCATGTACTTAACTGTGTTTTCACTATACCCTGTACATAATAGATCATAATAACATTACCAAAATATAGCAATTAAATAATTACAATGAAAACAATGAAAAACAATGAAAACAATGAAGTACAAACTCTCTTCATCTCTAAAAATATATACTTACACAACCACCTTTGCCACCCTTCAATTCAGGATAGGCTGCAACGATACTTAAAGCATAATGTAAATAATCTCTTTTTGTAGGCTGGTTGTTAGTAATAGCTGATAGATGAGTAGCCCAAAAGTAAATAAATGACTTCTGTCCTTCCAGTACTCCAATTTTTTTTCTGATGTCATCCAGCTCGACTGTCAGTTGGGGAAGAGGTGCTGGGTTTGGCACTGTGCCTGGACCAGATTTGTCCATCTGACGATATCTCTTTGATGTTTTTGAGTCAACAGTATTGCATACATTAACCTAAACAACATAATGCAGATCAATGAACATCCGACAGATTTATAATGATGCAGATTAGGGATGCACGGAATAGTGATTTAAAAAAAAACCGAATATTGAATATTCAGTGATGTCATGGATGAATCCCAAATACATATTCGGCTGAATAATAATTTTTAAATAAATTGTAAGTTTTTAAAAAGTAGAACGTGAAATGAAAATATAACGTAAGTATAAATGATTTCAACAGTATTTATTATTAATAAAAAAATTAATATATTGTGTTATCTAAATAAACAATATTCGTAACAGAAAATTAGACAATAAAATAATGTACTTGTTCCAATAAAATTAATATTCTGCAAAAATTAAAAATAAAACAAAATTCTTAAACATATTAATAAATTAAAATCAATTATTGTAATAAAGTATAGTTTTTAGATACATTAGTGTTAATCACATTAACAATATAGAAGTTTCATTATATTAAACTTAATGAAAATTTTTACATATTGTAATGTGATTAACACTAATAATATATCCAAAAACTGTACTTTATTGCATTAATTGATTTTTATTTATTAATGTTTACGAATTTTATTTTATTTTTAGTTTCAGATATTTATTTTATTGGAACAAGAACATTATTTTATTGTCTAGTTTTTTTATTATGAACATAGTTCATGTAGGTAACACAATATGTTTATTTTATTTTATTAATAATAAATGCCATTGAAATCATTTATATTTACGTTATATTTTTATTTCTACATTCTACTTCCTAAAAACTTCTTGAACAATTAATTTAAAAATCACTATTTGACTGTATAATTGCTGATATTCAGCCAAAGCAGCCGAATAGACTAAATATCGAATATTTTCTTAATGTAGATTAGAGATTGCCTAAAGTGTCTTACCTGTATGTCAGTTTTATTTAACGCTAAATTGTCTGCATCTGCTTTTTTCTCGAACAGAATAGGGATGTTGATTTCCATAATATCTCCAGCTTCTATGTTCTGTGCACAATCCATAATTGTACTGCTTGTAATAGCAATAGCAACAGGTTGAGAAGTAGGGTTAAGATCTACCAGTAAAACCGTAACATCACTATCAGTACATATTTCATCATCTTCGTCAATATCGCAGAGCCTACTCTTCCCCGGAATAGCTCTTTGCAGCACAATTCCTTTTCTTTTCATCATATTATCGAGGATATAGTCTGAAGCACGTGCTTTGTCCAAGATTTGGCGCAAACATTCCGCATCGGATAAATGATTTTCTTTTACGAATTTCACACACTTGTATCGTTCGCCGATTATACAGAAGACCTTTCGTTCCATTATTACTGTCACTAAACCGATTATTTTATGATACAATACTACAGAAAACCTTTCAAAACTATGTATAAACTTGCACCAGACAAAGATCTATTTGGCCGCAATCGATAATGGCGTACAGCCTTTTTTTTTTTTTTTTTGTCAAAAAGGGAAAATCTTCAAAAAGACTCCCCGCAGCCAGTATTGCGGGGGAGTGCGGGATTCCATCGCGGCTCTGGTCCTGACATTTGTCAGGGCACCGTGAGGACGTACCCGCTAAAAACCCTCTTTGTGAGCCAAACCTGGCTATACAAGGGTGAGACGGAAGACCTTACGGTATGACATCATCTCACCCTCTAGCCCTTCTCCTCTCGGAGATCATACGCTGGAAATTCGGGCTCTCCACTGGGCCATATGACCCAGAATGGGTCTCTGATCTTGGTGGATCTTAGATCCCTCAAGATCGGAAACCCATTTCTACCTTAATTTCCCCTCGCTGGCCATCAGGAGAGTGTGAGCTATAGAGCCCATCTCCGGCCATTGAGGGGAATAAGTTCTCTCCTAAAGCGGAGGTTTGGGGGAGGACAACGAGAGCGGAATGGGAAGAACATCCTCCACCCCCACTCCCACTCCCTCTTTCTTCTTTTTACTTTTTCTTTCCGGCCTGACCCTGAAGGAGGAGGAGGACTGGGGCGAGGTAATCTCGTCCATATTCCCCTCCTCCAGGCCAGCCAGAAAGAATCTATTAGCCTCCCCCAATGGTGGGGGAGGTTTGGCGGGCTTTGGAAGCCGCTTCGGGATCGGGGCCCGCTTCGCGAGAAGCCGAACTTCCGATACTAGTTTCCAGCATGGGAACTCCTGGGCAACTTCCGCCGCTGTCCTCCTAATCTGCGCAGTTCCATGTACATGGCTGCGAGCATCGTCATAGTACAGGACTATCATCCAGAAGTATCTTTCTCTTATGGATTGTCCTGACTTCCCAATTTCTATGCGGCCAACGTCAGCCTTCGGAAGGGTATTCCACCTTTTCTTTAGCTGACGCACCACTTCCTTCCAATTAGGTGTGTGCCAACGCTGGAATTCCTTTTCCGGCATTGTCCACGCGTCCTTCGGGAAAGTATCCCTCCATCGGAGGAAAACCTCGGAGGGGGAGTCTGCATCCTCCCGGTCACCATCCCCCGGCAATGGCGCTCTCCCGAGAGAGGAGGTGGAATCCTCTTTCTCCTTTACTCCAGCTGTGAAAGGAGTACATATGTTACTCCCCCCCACTACTTATCCTCTTTACTTTCTCCCTAGGGGAGGGGGGGGGGTGAGGAGACCCTCATCTTTTTGACGAGAGGTAACTCCACCCCCCTCTTCTTCCGGTTCGCTGCCTGGGTATGGAAGGGCTTTGTGCTCCCCTCCCCCGACAGCGTCGGAGGTAATAACAAGGGATCCTTCCAATCCCTGTTAACCCCCTTCTTCCTATCCATACTGGGGGGGAAGAGGAAGGCTTTGAGTGGCCTTTCCCCCTCCTTCCTCCTCCTTTCTATCAGGGGTGGGCGTTCGCCCCCCTTCTCCTTCCTCCGTAGATAGGGGATTATGGAAAAAATTCCTCTTTTCCCCATCCTCTCCTCGAGGAGGACGAGGAGTATCCGCAATATTCTGTGGGCCTCGGCCCACAGGTCTCCACCCGCGGTAGTCCATTCGCCCAGGGCGCCCACGTGGCACGCCCTGGGTGGCCCGTTGCACGATGACGACGTGAAGGGCACCGGGACCGAATACCCCCCTCGCCGGCTTCTGGGGTTCCGAAGCCCCTGAGGCGGTAAATTTACTCTTTGCGTCGTCATTGTATTTCATCAGTTGTAATTTTTTACAGAGTTGTCTTCTCTGGGTTTTTCGTCGTGGTTTTCCTTCCACTAGGAGGTTGCCTACCATGGCTGACGAGCCCGTCCTGCCCGGGTTTTATATTCGGAGTTCTTCCTTCTCCTAAGGTGTGCTCTTGGACCCCTGTTGCCTCACCCCAATCCATCCTGGGACCAGCGTCCCGATACGGAAAGGGAGATTATCGACGTGGCCTTACCCCAATCCATCCTGGGACCGAAGTCCCGATCGGAAAGGGAGATTGACCCAGGAGAGCCTTGGCACCACGACAAGGTGGCACACCATCGCCAAGGATGACGTACAGCCTGTAACCGTTTAACGTGGTACATTGAGTTAGGCTAGGTTACGTAATCTAGTCTAATGCCACGTCTACATAAGATGCTGATCGCAAGCGTTGCAATCCAATGAGCGTCGAGCTAGCTTGAACGGAATAATGACAGAACGTGAAATTCCTACAGTTATTTCATGCCCAATGTGTTTTTTTCAGTGTAAGTCACAAAATCAATTAATAAAACACGTTGTGTGTTTCCATAAGCAAGATCCTGCATTTAAAGTTGAATGTAACCAGTATGGTTGTGGTGCAACTTTCTGCAAATGGAAATCTTTCAAACAGCACGTCCGCAGAAATCACCCAGATGATTTGGAAAATGTGGATAATGCAGAGAATATGGGCGATATATTTCGTGATAACCCACAAAATGAAGATCAAGATGAAAATGCAGGTAAGTTCCTAAACATTAAAATTTCACGTTCTACTTCTTAAAAATTTACAATTTATTTAAAAATCACTATTTGGCTGTATAATTGCTGATATTCGGCCAAAGCAGGCAAATACACCGAATATCGCCAAATATTTGCTGCCATATTGTTTAGTTTATTTATTTATTGTCTTAATTAAAAAGTAATAAAAATTATTACGTTAAAAAAATACATTAGTAGTTTAATTATTATTAAATTGTTAATAATATATAATATAAATAAATTTTTTAATTTATTAATTATTATTTTTTTAAACTTATTTATTACTTAAATAATTACTTAAATAATAAATTTATTAAATAAAATTATTTATGCACTTTTTAGATGGTAGTTGTCCTAAAAACATGGAAAACAATAATTGTTTCTACAATGATTATATCTGATAAATTATTCTCGAAATTTTGACATTTGTTTTTTAACATATTAACGAAAAATATACTTGAGGATACTCACGAGAGGATGCTATTAAAATCCATTAATCTCATTAATATATCATTAGTTGAGTGCTTTAATTTTTGTTAGGATAATAAAGTATGCTTGATTTGGATTAACAGAAAAGAGAGAAATTTTCTTGAATGTAAATCAAAAATGTTTTTCGTTAAACATGTTAAATATAAATGTAAAAATTGCGATATAAGCTTTTATCGGTTAGAAGTGACGGTTGATCCGTTGTTATGATTTCACGTACATATACACGTACCACCCACGTGTCTCATTTTGCTTGACAACAGCTGATTAGCCCGTTTTGTACGTGTCCGTCTAAGACAGTAGATATAATGAAATGACGGCAGAATCGCTTCAAGATGACTCGATGTAAATGGTTCGATCGTGGAATAAAAGAGTGCATAATCTATCAGTTCGATTCATTAAATGATCTCAATGTTCGTCCGCCTATTTCGTTCGTCTGTTTGTCCGTCCGTTCGTCCGTCCGTTTCCGAAAAATAAGACGCCTACAGCAAGAATAATTTATTTACCAGATGTAGTTACTATAGAAACAATTATTCTTTTCTATGTTTTTATGACAACAATTATTCAAAAAAAATGTACGTTATAAATAATTTTATTTATTAATAAATAAATTTGTAACGGTGCGTATTGTCACGCCTCACGGGCGGTGCGTAACGATGCGGAATTTCGACGGTATGCGGATTTTTCGATGCGGAATTGCGACGGTGCGTAGTTAGCGAAGCGGATTCTTACGACGCGGAATAACTCGTCGGTTTGCCAGAATTCGTTCGTGTGGTTTATCGGGAGACTCCAAATTAACAAAAATAATTTAAAGAAAAATAAATATTTAGGATAAAGTTCCGAATAGGTAAAACGCCCAATTTTTTTGAAACTGCACTATTTTATGTATTTTGGCGCGCTGATTACGAATATGATAATGAAAATCGCCGACAAGGGTATTTTCAAGGTCAAAACTCCAAAAAAAGTGAAAAAATATCACTTTTTTGAGATTATTTCGAGAAATATTGATG